CGGTGGCAGCAAGCAGATCAGACCAGGAGCACAGGGCAGGAAGCAGAAAACAGAGCAGCAGATAAGGCAGGGGGAAGGGATTAGAGTGGTAGTCAGGAAGTGCAGGGCTCATTGGTGGCATCCCTGCCAAAAAGGCTGATCCTTCACTCCACTAAACAGCACCCTTCTCCTCATTGCAATGCTCAACAGGCTGAAGGGAGGTCTTGCCTTGTGTGATATGCGCACTTCACTTTATCTAATATTCATGCAGGGATCCTGCAGGATCTAGTTAGGGTACTTGGGTTTGATTCCTGCTTCTTCCATTGAGCCTCCAAAGATGTCAGATCATGTTTGACCTCTTTTATCTGAAACCAATTTGAATTATCTAAATTAAAAAATTTCATCCCCATTTAATTATGTAAACAAGAACCTAATCTATGAGGCATTTCATGTAGGGCACACTACATTGTGCTTTGGGGTTTTTCTTCTTTGACACTTAACATTCTTTATGAAGCCATCACATCTATTGTGGCTTGATCACGTTCTTTGTGGCCACCAAATCTATTCTTAAGGTGGCCATAAAGTCTAAGCTGGACATTTGTGATAGAGACTTTAATGTGGACCAGAATCTAAAAGCACTGTGAAGAAAAATGAGTTTCATATTCTGTTCTGGACACAGTGGGTTGGTGCATCAACACAAGATGTTTATTGCGGAGCTGACTAATTTGCTCGACAGTAAACATCTCGGTGTCTACGTGTGTGCCTCTATTGGGGCACAGGAAACGAATATACTTCATAGCAGGGTAGTACTTGTAAATACAAGTACTACCCTGCTGTGGAGTTTTTTGTGTGCAGCAGTGCACATGTAGATGCTACCCTGGCTGGTTGAGGCATAAGGGTCCTTCAGTTCAGGGGCTGCTTGCTAGCTAACCCAGCACTGAAGCACTCTTATGCCCCAGCTAGCCCCTTCAAAGCACATTGAGCCAGGTCAGAGCAGCTCTGGGCTGGCCCAAGCTCCCTGCTAGCCGGAGTTGCTCCAATTTGGCTCAACATGCTGTGGTCCTGAGCACATATTCAAATGACACACCTGGGAGTAATAAGGTCTAGAGCAGTAAGCTCCAGAGTTTATTGCTTTGCATTAATTGCATGTGTAGACGTGACCAATAAGTGCACTTCTGCTTCCCAACAGCTGGCAGAAGGCAGAAAATAAAATAACATCCTGGAGCATTGGCAGGGAGGTGAGGAACTGATGATGGATGGGGTGGATGGATAGTGATAGGGATGACAGCAGTGGTAGCAGAATGCCTTGGGCTCAATACAGCCTCTTCTGAGCTTTGCAGCACCTGCCCCCTTAAAACCTGCCAGAGCCTGAGCTTGGACATCCTCCTAAAGCACTGCAAGACTTTCCAATTTGGGAAAGAGTTTAGCAAGCAAGGCTAGGCTGGGATGCTGTTTAGGGAGCTTTTGGTTATCCTATTTTATTCTGGTTGCTTTTATATCTTGTTCTGTCTATTGCTAAAAGCTGTTCTGAGCCTTTTTGGTGGGGAAGGATGGCATATAAATCAAATAAATATGCACAAGAGCAGAGAATGATCTTGAACTTGTAGACCACATTTTCTGGTGATGAAGTAAAGCCAGGCTTTGTCATCTCTGAACCAAACCATGTGGTGAGTGTTTGCTGACATCCCCCATTTCCTCTTTATTTGTTTAGAATGTATATGAGCTGTACATGGCAATACTTCTGGACTCGCTGCCTGCAACACAATACAAGGTAATATTCATGTGTCAGTAGTAATGCTTAGTTAGGTCATCAAGGCATTGTATCTTGGACTCAAAGTTTAAAAAATAGTCATTTTTTACTTGTGTCCAGCATGGAAGTTTCCTTCGATTACATGTGTGCTCTCACCATTTGTAATGTTACAGAAATGTAAGTGGGACGGGCTAGCTGGCAGTGACCTAGCCCAGGGCTTTGGAAAGGGCAAAAGATGATTGGAGGACTTGGGATTCCCTTTCCTCACCAATCAGGCCCCAGAGACTCACCCCCCATGTCCCTTGATTGGCCCCTTGGGTCACCTGGAGGGGGATAAAAGGGGCAGCGTGTGCTGATTCAGGAGAGACCAGCAAGGGACAATAAGGAAGGAGCTTCACAGAGCTGGCAAGAGCTGGGCCAGCGGGACAGGAGCAGTAGCCCCAGAAGAGCCTGAAAGAGCAGGACTTGCAGACAGCAGTGGGACCCTCAGCAACACGGCGTGCGGCTGGCAAGAGAGGCTCCCCACTGGGCTCCAGGATCCCCTAGAAGAGGCTGCAGCCAGCAGGAGAGGCTCCCCCGCTCCAGCAAGGATCTGAGCAGTGACCTGAGAGCTTCCCAGCTCTGCTTCCAGCTCCTCCAGTCAGAGGTCAGGCAGCTCGACATGAGGCCGGGGCTCCAGGAAGGTCAAGACCCCTAGCAGGCTAGAGTAGTGCCACCACTGGGAGCTGTGTGGTAACATTTCTGCCTTCCATGTGGGAGGTCTGAGTTCAAGTTCGAGCTGAGGTGACTTGGGGTGAGTGAACTAACAAGAAGGAAATCTTGCAGTGGAAAGGGGCCATTGTGCTTTCTCCCCCTCCAGGTACCTAGGCCCTATATTTTCTTGACATTTGTATTTTGTGCCTTTTTATATTTCACCAACCCGTATTGTTTGTTCTGTTGTTTGTGTTTTATATTTCATCAACCCTGTTTTTTGTCAATGATTGTAAGTGTCTAACCTTTGTTGAATCCTGCCCCCTTGGGGCATTGTAATGTCCACTGTACCCTCTGATTTATGCCTGTTATGTTCCTGGTATTCAAAGGTATATTGTTAAGTCCCCATTGGTGGTCTGGCTCTGTTTTATGAGGGGAGGGAGAGTCCCTACACCTCCCACAGCGCTTGTGCACATGCTTGATCCCTTTAATTGGAGAGGGGGTACCTCCTGGAGTACGACCCGGGTTATATAAGTTACTTGGAAATGTATAGTCCTTGATTATTTGGTTCTAATGATATAACCACATTTTGAACCTCTAACAATGATTTGTGCTTATTTTTTATAAGAAGATCTAATGTTTGCCCTATACTTTATTACTTACACAAGCTTTGGCTACAGAACCAGTAGCAATGGAAACTGAGATGATAGATTTTTAGGCACAAACAGAAGAGTTGATCAAAAATAGCATGAGTTGAATATGCTGAAGCTGTTCACACACACACTACCTTTATATTATACACAGTCTATTACATGTATACATTCCTGGGGACTATAGCTATTAAGTTAATACTGCAGAGTGTTTGTCCTGTATTAATATATGTTCCATTTTCTTTTTTAGTCAGGGAAGGGAATTTGAACTGACTGAACGCCTCAGTGGCATTTGTAATTTAAATTCCAAGTTATTTATCACTAACTCACCAGTCTGAATCTGTCCCAGTTGGTAGTGAGTGAGGATCTGCACCAGCTAATTTGTATTGGTAGTCTTTGTGAAACCGTTAAGTGGTTTCACTCCAGGTCTTGGTGAGCATACATCCGCCTCATACAGAATCACCTTCACAAATGGTAGGGAAAAGATTCTGAATATCTGTCAAGCTGCAGTTTGGAAGCTCTGTACAGGAATGTTTTGAAAACAGTATGCTTAAGGCACAAAAAGCAGGGAAGTTGAAGTAAGGAAAGGTCTTCTTCAGTGGCTTTTGGGGCAAGCACATCTAAATGTTAACTTTAGTGTTTGTACTGGAAGTTACATAGGGCCATGTAAATATTCCAAGCCAGACTCCCCTGTCTAGTAAGGCCAAATTGTGCTGCATAGCATTGAAGCAGGAGGAGAATTCCTCTTGTATAGAGGAACTCTCTATTAGCATAAAGCTGATTTAAGTACAGGCAACCCTCACCCGTGAATGGTGAAATCCAAATCCCCCACGAATGGTGAATCTTGCGTTCATGAATGCAGTGACCCTAGTGGCTGAGGGGGGCACAGCTACTCTGGCATCGGTGGGAGCACTGCAGCAGTGGCAGGAGCCCAATGGCAGCAAGCACAGACATCCCGAAGAGCTCCTTTAAGTGTATTTAAGAAGTGGGTTCGGCATTTGCAAATATTTGAAACTGCAAATGCTGAACCCACAAATAGTGAGGGTTTCCTGTACCTCCACCAACTTTTGTACCAGCCACATCTTACTCCTAGCAGACAAGGAAGGAGGTAGGATGTCAGAAAGTTCCAAAATGGGCATAGAAAGGAGTCAACAATTGCCCTGCTTCTCCCTCAGCAAATGGTAAGTCTGCAGTTCTAGTTTGTGCTGATTTTTAGAGGTTTATTTTACATTTATGATTTTTTTAAAAATTGCATGCATGAAAATCCTATGTCTGCTGGACATTTTGTCATTTATTTCAATGGGATAAGGATTTTACAGCTGGACATCCTCTCCCGTCCTTAATGGCTTTCTGGACTGAGTTGTGTTGCTGTGTACTACATCTGATCTGCTGAGATCACAGTGGAAAGTAATGCTGAACCTGGCACCATGGACAGAAGTGAACTTGTACCTTGTCTCACACCACCAATACACTATGCAGTGGCAAAGCATCTAAGGAATTATGTCTAGGGTGACCATATGTTCCAGTTTGCCCGGGACAGTCCTGGGTTTCAAAGGCTGGTCTTAGGCAGCTTGGTGAAAATTAAAACCAGGATCTCAAAACTGCAGGTGTACAGGGTGCAGTCCAGTGGGGAGGTTGAGTGGCATGGTGCATCAGGCAGCCCCACTTCCCCAGTGGACTGCACTTGCGCCCCTGCCCACTGGCCTTTGACATTGCCTGCAGCAGCGCCGCAGACTTGCAGGGGGTGGTGGGGCGGGCAATGTCCCAGATGTCCTGGTTTTCCTTTTGGTCACCCTAATTATGTCCCACACAACCGAGCCTTCAGCTGGGTGGTGTTCTTTTCAGCTAGCAGGGTGAAATGTGTATAGTCGTCAGTCCTTCCTTGTGCTGGTACCAGTGTTTCCTCTACTCTTTTGAAACCTCTGTGGAATTGGAATGAGTTCTGTGGTTATTGTGGTGCTTGTTCAGCAGTTTTTTCTGATTCATAACTGGAAATGTTAACACTTCCCCATGAAGTGCCTCATTTAGAAACTTCCATCAGGATTGATTTTCACCTAAAAATGATTAAGAAAAAGAGGCCAGGCCTTGTGTATGCAGTGAAGGGGAAAAGTACATACAAGTTCTTGAATGCTTCTTGCTTCTGCCTGTTATAAAAGTTCCTCCTATTTCACTCTTGTCTATGTAATCTCACAGACTTTGTTGGCTCAGGCAAGAGGTATGGAAAAAAGAGCCACAAAGAGGCAAGAAATAGAACAGACCAGGAGAGATGTACAATTTCTTATGAAGAAAAGCAAAAGTGCTCTGGAGAGAAATGAAGAGTAAGTGCTGTAAGTGTAATACACTTCTATATTGGATCTATCTCTAATAGGTTGTGTGCATTGAGGGGCAAAAGTAAATGGAAGCGTTCATACCTCACATTACTGAGAGTGTTTGATTGTGCGCTGAATGTCCAAGGACCCTTGTCAGTGGCCTATTCTGGAGTTCTTCTTGGGTGCATCTCCATGTGATGCTAACTGTGCAGTAGTCGAATAATGCTGTGCAGTAGCATGTCACAGCACCAACAGTATTAATATGCTACTGTGCAGTAGCATCACTAAAAAGGTGTTTGCCGGTGCTACCGAGCAGTAGCTGTGGTTACTGCATATTGATTTAGTACTTAATTACACAAGTACTAAATAAATGTGCAGTAACCACTGTGCAATAGCGTCCTGTGTAGATGCTCCAAGTATGCATCTGAAACAAGCTGGTTTTCCTTTCCCCACAGAATACACTGTTAATTTTTTTTTCCCCATATGCACCAAAACAGTCACATCCACTGAACTTCCCTGCTCCTACCCATCATTCCCTGCCACCCACCTCAAGAATTCGGAAGCTGCTGATTAATCTGATGGACTTTCACCCTCCCTCATCTTTTATCTCTTACAGCTGAGCAAGTTTGTCAGGATAAGATAACTTAAGAGGTCTTTTAAATCTATTTTGAAGTTGTTTTTTAGTTTATTACATGTGTACACTTTGCTCCATTTACACTATGCTTTCAAAACATATTTTTCATGATTCTCTACTTGTTAAGATACTGAAGTGTTGTAGAGACTGATTCTAAAATAGAGGAAATGCTGGTGAGCATAAGGTTCTAATTAACAGTAGCTAAATATACACTTGTGTATATGTGCCTACAGAGAGAGGATACATGATAGAGTGATACGAGGTAAGGTCTTAGCGATATGAATTTGGCTGAGAAGGTTAGTGTAGGATCTGTATACCATACCACTGTATAGAGTGTTCAGTTTATATGCTACAGAAAAGCAACCCTACAACTTTTTTCTTTTTCCATCTGCAAAGGTACTTTAGTTAAGACAAGTCCAGCTGAACAGAGTTCCAGGAGAATGATGATAAACTTTTAAAAAAATGACCTAATGTAACTCCAATGTTGTGACAATTTTCGGCCTAGAAGTTTTTCAGAGCTAAAGGAAATCTTGTGTTTCAATAAATGCTTAGCATGCCTCCATCCTAGTGGTATCCTCATTTCAAACCCTGCAGGAGCGGTCGTTATCAGAATTTAGAGCTGTGAAATTTTTATTTATAGTTGCATAATGGATATATAGGGCATAGCTCGTACACATACCACAATATTTAGCTTCTCTTGACCTTTGGTCTCATGTAATTTTGAGGGAAGGGGAATTCTCTTTGTAGGGTGAGAAGAATGAACTATTTATTTCTAAGGTTGATAACTCTATTTCTTCAAATGGCATCTACCTGAAACTTCTTAGAATTTTAAGAAGTACAGGAGAGATGAGTTAGCAAGCAGAAGGCTGGTGAGGAGGTTGAAGTATACAATAAACTAATTGCTCACTTTGTGATTTGCTTTACAAAGTGTCACATGTCTAGCTCGTCCACACATGCTGCTGGGTTGTATGTCATTGCTTCAGTGCCATAAACACTCTGTTTTCTCAGAAAGGAAGTTGCCAGTGTCACGATACCTTTTTCATGGAACAAAGGTCTAGTCAAATGATGTATCAAGACTATACTCCTAGTAGGGCAGGGATAATGAGGCAAAGTCTGGGATTAACACTAGTAAACAAGTAAACCTCAGAGCAGAATTTGCCCTATGGCCATCTGTATGAATCCTCACATGAATAAGAACTTCAGGCTTCCTTGCACTGCGTGATCTCAATTCCAGTGCATAGTATGGTAATGAAAACATGGCTGTCATCACACTAACATATTGTTCTCTTTTGTTCCATTTTAGACTCAGAAATGAACTTGAAATTGAACTGTGGGTGAGCCCAACTCCTGAGGAAAAGGCAGGCAAGTAATAATTCAGTTCTGATTGATATTAAAAAACAGAACACAGTATGACTCAGAGCACTGGAAAATTCAATGTAGCTTTTAAGCCAAAACAAAACAAAACAACACAGACATGAACGATGAGTGCCTCCGGAGGCTGGGGGGGTGGGCACGGCGATCGACCACAGGCGGTGGAGGGAGGGGCATGGCGGTGGTGAGTGGGGAGCTCCTGCTGGTGGTTGCAGTGGTGTCAGTGGCGGGGGGTGCGGTGGGGTGGCAAGCACTGACTGATGATTAATGACCACCCGCAAATGCTGCTGATAGCATTGGCGACAGCTAGTGGCGATCGGTGGTGCCACAGATGCTGCTGGTGGTTTCTTCTCCAGGTATCATCCTGGAGTACAGGGCCCCTTATGGAATAGAGTAACATTTTTATTATGTTTCTTTTGCTCTGGGGCTGACATGATGCCCATAAAAGTCAGTAGGAGATGTTCCATTTATTAAGGAATGTAGAAATTGCCATACTGGGTCATACCCACAGATCATCTTGTTCAGCATCCTCCGGATAGCGTTAGAGGCCTCAAAGGAAATTTCCAGAAATCCTCTTTTGGCAGATACAGGATAAGCTGATATTTCATGAAGATCTCCTACTAACCTCTAAATAGAGTCCATTAAAACAATCAGCTTCAGGTTTTATAACCCTTCCAAATCCTATTTTAACATTAACTATAATAGCTTTGCATACACTTGTTATCCATATAACTCTCCAATCTATCTTTGAAATCTTACTAAGTTATTGGCCTCAACAACGACAACAAAGTGTATCATATGTTGAGTGAAAAATGAGTTCCTTTGATCAGTTTCCACTTGACTTCAGTGGGCTTTGAAGCAAGGTCATTCAGCTGTTTCCAAAATGAAAAGAATATGTAAATCTAGAAATCTCCAAAAGGAAAGCAGACTATTTTATGGTGAGCTGGGACATTTCTGAAATCTGTAAAATGTCATTAGGCTAGAATCTAGTATGTCAAATATGACTGCACAGTAGGCCTGTGTGAATAGGGAAGTATTCGATTTGGATTGGGATTTGGCCAATTTGGAAGACAGTGATTCGATTCAGTGATTTGAAACACTATCCCCATTTGATTTGGCCAAATCAGAATCGGAGATTTGATGCTGTTTCGATGCTGATTTGGAGATTCAGATCCGCTGGGGAGAGGCAGGCACAGCTGGGCAGCTGCAGGTTCTCCCACAGCTCCTCTGGCTGTGCCTGCCTCTCCCCAGGTTCGGGGTGCTGCAGGAGTAGCCCCCATGGCTGCCCTGCCCAGCCCTGCCCAGCCCCAGCCTCCCAGCACTTTAAAAAAAACAAAATAAAATAAAACAAAAAAAGCCAGGGCCCCGCACTCACTGGCTGCAGAAGCAATGATTAGGGCCTCTGAGGGCTTGTGGCAGAGCCCTCCCACACAGTGTGGGGTGCGGGGGGAGGAGGAATTCCCCCTCCCCCTGCTTGGCACCTGTGCGGCAGCTGCCCCATCACATGGGTGCGGCAGCTGCCCCATCACATGGGTGCAGCATGGCTTGGCAGGGGGCCGTGGGCTGTCTGGGAGCTGGGGCTGGTGGGGCTGAGTGGTGCCGGGCTTTGGCTGATACCTGAAGCCACCCCAACTCCAAGACAGCGCGCGGTGCCCTACTGAGCCATGCTGTACCTGTGCCATGTGGGGGGCTCTGCCATGAGCCCTCAGAGGCCCCCAGTTGCTGCTGCCAAAGCTGGTGAGTGTAGGGCTTTATCTATCTATCTTTTTTTTTTTTTTTAAGTGCCTGGAGGCTGGGGCCAGGCTGGGGATGGGGCTGGACAGGGCAGCCATGGGGACTTCTTCTGTGGAGAGGCGGGTGCAGCTGGAGGAGCCGTGGGAGAACCTGCAGCCGCCTGGCTGTGCCTGTCTCTCCCCAGCTGATCCGAACCTCTGAATCTCTTTGCATCTTTTCTGAATCAGTTCAGAGGCTTTGGATTCAATGTGGACCTTTTAATGGTCTTCCAGTTTGATTCAGATTTGGAGATTCAGCTGCTGAATTGGGCCAAATCTCTAAATCCAAATCGAATTGGCGACCGAAGCTTCACACAGTTCTACTGCACAATAAATTTATATTTTATGCATTTGTTAAATTTTGTATATGATGCAGACACAAAGCGTTGCTGCTTCTTATAGCCTGGTGAGAACATATTAATTGGTAAACTTAAATTATATCAATAGACAAAGTAAACAGTTTCCTAGAAGTTTTCTGTAGAGTTGCCTTTTGCCTACTCTGCCCTTGATATAACTAAGGCAGCTAAGTTCAATGCACAGTGAAAGACGAAGAGATAACCTTGCTCTGGCCCACACTTTCCTCTTCAATAAAGAAAACAATATTTTACCCCAGGTTGTGTGTGAGCTGTTATCATTGCCATATTCTGGCCATTAATATGACTATATAAACTCACTCTTCTGAACAAGCTTTTTGCATAAAAGGTGTTGTATAATCAAACATACTTCTGCTTTTTCATCCCTCAGGAAATAAAGTGGTTCAAATTCCTCTTTGATGTAGCTCCATTTACTTCATGAAATATATGCTAGGAATGCAGTTGCCCTGCTATGTTGTTTCTGCAGCCTGGTACAGGCTTTGAATTCCAAAGCCTTTCAGCTAACCCAGTAGAGCAATAAGCTTTGGCTCTAGACATGCTGCAGGGCTAATGGATAAAACAATCTCAAGTTTCAAGGCTGAGACATCTCTGAAAAATGGAGTTGCGCAAAATGAGTTAGAAGTCTTTTAAAAAAGAAATGCTTTTACTTTGTTTAAAAGGATTACAACTCAAAGATACTCATCCAGTTATCCTTAATCTTCCCTTTCCCACCTTCTTAACTGCATGTACGGGAAGTTTCAGGTGAAGAGGAATTAAAACAAAGTCAGCAGGAGTCAAGTACTGTTTTTATTCTCCCCTTTTCTTTTATTACAGTTGTGCTGAGAGGGCCCCAGGCATGAGATTGAGGCCACGATGTGCAAGGAACTGTACAAACCCATAATAAAACAGAAGTGTGAATAATTGACTGGGGGGTGGAGGGGAGCGGGGCTTACTGTCCAAATGAAAACACTTCATATTGAGTTGCTCCCAAATGATTCTTTTTTGTGTTTTGTTTTATCCCACAGAAGAAATAGGAAAAAATCAGGTTGAATGAAATGTTCTTGATTGTTTAACTCCACTTTAACCCCTTCAATTTTTCATTTCAAAACATTTTATTTTGAAAATGTCAAAAACCATTAACTGAATTTTATCCTAATTTGTGAACTGTTGTGGTCCCCCTAAAACTGCATTTTTTCCCCAGCAAATAACACACTCTTCTGCTGTATCTCAGGAAAGACTGAAGGCTAGAAAAGGGGAAGGCTGAGAGGGGATATAATAGAAGTCTTTAAAATCATGAGGAGTGTGGATAAAGTGAGTAGGGAACTGTTATATACCAAACTCCAGGATACAAGAACTAGGGGACACCCACTGGACTTAGCAGGAGGCAGATTTTACACAGTGGGTGCATCTATATGTGCACTTTACTATGGAGCTGAATAATTAGCTCTGCATTAAAGCATCACCAGGTACACATGTGCCCATATTAGGGTGCAGTAAATTAATTAACTCTGCTGTAGGATAGTAATGTCTGGGACAAGTACTATCCTACAGCAGAGTAGTTACATGCACCAAAACACACATGTAGATGGTGACAGGCTGGCTGGGACATGAGGGTGCTACAGTGCAGGGGGCAGCATTGAGCCAGGATAGAGAAGCTCTGGGTTGGCAGGCTGATTCCCCAGGCCCCCATGGCCAGCCAGGGCTGCTTTATCCCAGCTTAGAGTGCTGTAGTTGTGGGCATACATGGAAACACTGTGACCGGGAGCAATAAACTCTGGTGCAAACTGTGCCAGGGTTTATTGCTACCTGTTAATTGCATGTGTAGATGCACCCAGTGTGCAGTTAACTTATGGAATTCATTGCCACAGGAAGTTGTAGATGTAAATAGGTTTAAAATAAGACTAGACAGATTCATGGATGACAGCTCTATTGGAAGGTATTAAATACAACAATCAGGGATGCATCCTCTGACATTCCTAAATCAGTTATGCCAAGGAAGGTGACAGGGTTGGATTACTTGAGACATGTCTCATTCATGTACTCTCCCTTTACAGTATCTACAGTGACTTGCCACTGTTGGAGACAGAATACTGGGCTAGGTGGATTATTGGTATGACTAAGTATGGCTCTTTTATGGTCTTTGTCACTCTGTCTCTCTCTCTCACTCTCTCTCACTCACTCACTCACTCAGTCACACACCCAGCTCTAATAACAGCTCTTACAAAGGCAGTGTTATTAATTGTCATTTGATAGATGGAAAAAAATTAGGCCTAGAGAGACTAATTTGCCTATAGTGGTGTGTGAAACAGGCCATATTTGATTCAGATTTGGCCCGAATCGGGGACAGTGATTTGATTAGCTGATTCAGATCACTGTCCCCGATTTGATTCAGCCTAATCCAAATCTGAAGATTCAATGCTGATTCAGAGAATCGGTGATTTGGCCATAGATACAGCTTTAAATGTTATTTCTACATACCTCAAGGTAGCAGGTGGCTTGTGAATGCTGCGATGCTGGGGCAGATGGAGCATCCCACAGGAGTGCAGGAGGACCTCTGGCACACTCCCCAGCAGACCTAGAAGTGGACCAGAGTGCTTCTGGTCCACTTCCAGGTCTGCTGATGAGCACACTGGGGAGCCTCCTGTGCTCCTGTGGGATACTCCATCCACCCCAGCATCGCAGCGTTCACGAGCTGCCTGCTACCGTGAGGTATGTAGAAAAAACATTTAAAGCTGTGTCTATGTCTAAATCTCTGAATCCCTCTGAATTGGTTTGGAGGGTTCCAATTCAATTGGAGAGATTAAAGGCTCTCCTGATTTGATTTGGATTTGGAGATTTGGGCACCAAATCGGGCCGAATCTGTGCCGAATAGAATCAGGGACCGAAGCTTTGCACACACCTACTTGCCTATACTTACCTCTTCTGCCAGCCAGAATTCTGGTGGCAAACAACAGGTAAAGGCAGCGTCTGGACACACCTGCATCTTCTTGTGGATTCATCTGGTTTGGTGCAGCAGCTGTGCCCTGGAAAGTTACCAGCTGCTGAAGCCACTGCTAAAGCTGGCAGAAGATATCAAGATGTTTTACATATTGCCTTTTGCTGGCTGCTTGACAGTGTAGAACAGGGGTGGGCAATTATTTTGGGTGGAGGACTACTTACCCAGTTTTGGCGGGCTGTCGAGGGCCTCATGGGGAACCCCGCCCCTTGACAGGTGCCCCGCCCCTTGGTCACTATCTTGGGACCAATGTCCCAGGGCCAGCACTGGTGGGGCCCAAAGCAGGGCACAGGCTGGCAGGGTCTGTGGAGCCGGGCTGGGCTGCACCAGCAGGGAGAGGGAGGAGCTGGCCCAGCTCCACAGAGCCCGTGTCAGCTGGGACCCTGCTCTCCTGCCACCCTGCTCTGGGCCCCATTGGCGCTGGCCCCAGGCCGCTGGCTGCTCACTCCCAGTGCCCCCCAGCCCCGTGGTACAGGAGGGCGGCAGCTCACAGCCCTGACCCCCTGCTCGCTGGCAGGGAAGAAGCTGGTGCTGAGTGTGGGGAAAAGTGGCCCCTCTCCTGCCCCATGACCCATGCTCCCTGCTCAGCACCAGTTTATAACCTCGCCCCGCTCCCAGCCTGGGCTCCATGCCAGCTCCAGGCTTACCTGTTGGTGGCAGCAGCTTTGGCCCCCCCGCTTGCCATGCTGGGCAGTGTTGGCTGCTGCTGTCCATCTGGATCTCTTGCGCTGGGCCGCCCAGAGGCAGCGGTGGCAAACACTGCCCAGCACAGCAAGTGTGTGGGGGGGTGGGGGGCCAGCTGCTGTCACCACATGCAGCCCTGATGGGTGAGCTCATAGCTGGCACAGGGCCCAGGTTGGCAGTGGGGCGGGGTTACAAGGTGGTGCTGAGCACGGGGGGTGGGGGAGTGACCCCTTGCTTACCCTGTGCCTGACGCCCCGTGCTGCAGCTGCTCACAGCCTGCCTGGGGGTGCCTGTGCCTGCTTCAGACAGCCCCGTGTGGGCTGTGAATGCCTGCAGCAGGGAGCACTGCTCATGGGGTGGGAAAGGGGCCACTTTTTCCTGTGCTCAGCACCAGCTTCTTCCCTGCCAGCAAGCAGGGGGTCAGGGCATGCGCTGCCCCCCGCCTGTACTGCGGGGCTGGGGAGCACTGGGAGTGAGCAGGTGTGGGAGCCAGCAGGAGCATGGGGCCTGCACCAGTGTCCTGGGGCCAGTGACAGCGGGGCTCAGAGCAGGGTGGCAGGAGTGCAGGGTCCTGGCCAGCAGGGGATCTATGGAGCTGGGCCAGCTCCCCCCTCTCCCTGCTGGTGGAGCCCAGCACGACTCCACAGACCCCAGCCAGCCTGCGTCCTGCTCTGGGCCCCACTAGTGCTGGCCCTGGGACATTGGTCCCAAGACATTGGGACATTGGTCCCAAGATGGTGACTAGGGGTGGGGCACATGTCAAGGGGCAGGGCTCCTCATGCAGCCCTCGACAGCCTGCCAAAACTGGGTAAGCCACCCTCCACCCGAAATAATTGCCCGCTGCTGGATTAGGATTTGGATTTGGCCCGAATCAGGGACAGTGATTCTATCCATGCATTCAGATCACTGTTTCCAATTTGAGTTGGCCAAATCTGAATCTGCCAATTCGATGCTGATTTGGCATATCAGCAATTCGGGCACAGGCACAGTTTTAAACGTTTTTTCTACATACCTTGAGGTAGCAGCATGGCTGTGATCATGGTGGTGCTGGGGCAGATGCAGCATCCCACAGCAGCATGGGGGGGCTCTCCAGCATTCTCGGCAGTGAACCCAGAAGAGGACCGGAAGTACTTCTGGTCCACTTCTGGGTCAGCCAGGGAGCATGCTGGGCCCTGCCCCCACTGCCCCCCTGGCCTGGTGATCAGCCTCAAGGGGATCCCGGGTGCCCTCCAAGACCCAGGAGCACCAGTTGCTGAGCAGGGGGGGTGCAGAGGGACCCCCAGTGTGCTCCCCAGTGGGCCAGGAAGTGCACCAGAAGTGCTTCTGGTCCACTTCCGGGTCTGCTGCTGAGCATGCTTGGGAGCCCCCTGCACTGCTGTGGGACTCTGCATCTGCCCCACCACAGCAGGTTTCAGAGCCCTTGCTACCTAGAGGTACGTAGAAAAATCATTTAAATCCATCTTTATGTCCAAATGGCTGAGGGAGGGTTCTGAATTGATTCAGAGAGATTAAAGCGTCCCGTGATTCGATTCAGATTTCGAGATTCAGCCACCGAATTGGGCCGAATCTCCCCCAAATCGAACCATGGACCAAAGCTTTGCACAGCCCTAGTAGAAACCTTCTTTTACCTGGGAGGAACAGTGAAACTGTGTTGGCATTAAGGGGGAGTTCTGCCAGCACATAAGAGCTTTGAAATTTGAACACAGATTAATTTTGCCAGAAGACCTTGTGCTTTGTAGGCAGAACAGTGCCGTGTAGAGCAGGCTTAAGGTATTTGGTAAAGAGAACTCTGTGGCTGAGGCAAGACATGGATCCAGGTTTCTTGAGTATATAGAGCCTTAACTGCAACAATAACACTTTGCAGTCCATGTCTTCTTTACAACCCTTATATATGGCTATACTGTCTTTTGGAAATCCCTTCTTTTAAACTTGCCTGTGCTTTGCAGGCTACAAAATATTTGATCATGGACAGGGTGTGTTTGCTATTTCTTATTTTGAATGTGATCGTGGAGAAAACTGCTGAACTCAAAGACACAAAATTGATGCCACCTCTCTCTGGGATGGGGGTGAGTGAAAAAGATGCTCATTGCTTGGAATAAGAAGCACAGTTTGGAACTCGTGTGGCTTCTCAGGGTTGGTTAGCAAATTTGCAGATGAGCAGGGCAGCTGGATAGTTGGGAGGGAGCCACGCTTTGAAACAAATGCAGTAAAATATTGTGCAATTAACAAAGAAATCTTTCTAAGTATAGGTGTCTAGCCATTTTACCTGGGCCCTCAAACTGGGATTGGAACAGTTTAGCATAATATAGCTAACTTGCTCTTTTTTACGAATGCTGTCCTGTTAACCATGCCTGCCTTTTTACAGTTCCAGAAACCCATGATGACCCTGCAGTGAAAATGCCTGTAAAGAAACAAGTCTCCCTGGCAGAGAAGGTTGAATCTATGAGGTGTCAAGTTCTCGCTAAGTGGGAGGAAATACAAGCTTTAGAGAAAGAGATTAAAGAAACCATGACTCATGCTGGGGTTGCAAACACCATAGAGAAGACTGTTAAAGAGATAGAGGCAAGAGATAATTATTTCTAAGCATTTTGTGTTCATTTTACCTGGGAGGTATCCCTATCTAGCTTCCTTGGTGACAGGCTTTTTAGAAAGGATATTGATACTCAGTAGTCTTTATTTTCTTCTCTGAAGACATACACAGCTACTCCAGATACTTCTAAGGCTCCAATAGTCAGGGTATCTGGGGCTATGATCCTGCAAAGTGATGCATCTGGGTGGACTTCTGAAGTAAATTGAGCTTGGCCAGACACAAGGGTGCTCCGCATACACCATGTTATAGGATTGGGGCTTTGTAATCATACGATTTGGCGGGGCAGGCTGGGGGTGGGTGGAGGAAAAGAGAGTTTATCAAGATGCAGGGTCAGGTTTACTCTCTCCTTTTGCTCCTCCACCCGGTGGGTACTAATTACTATGTGGACTGCTAGAATCATTACAGAATTTTTGAGAATTGCTCATAACTGACAAAACCCTTCTCTCATTGAAGGCAATGGTAAAATGCTCATTTTTAACATCAGTGGTTAGCAGAGTTAGGTCAGTATGGAGTCCTTCTAGAATCAGACTAGCTGTTCAGACAACTGAATGAGCCTGAAAATTTGATTACTTGGATGTCTAAATGAACTTAAACATGACCACAGAACTTCATATTCAAAAAGAGAGGCCTGGTCAAACCCAGGCTGAAAAATGAGCTTCGTAATATATTGTTAATATCAAATAAACAATAAATCAACAAAACTTATTATTAGACTTGTCTATTAATACAAATACCAGTGTTAATATTTGTTACTTATTATTATTAGTAGTAGCAGTAGTAGTGGCTTTCTGAGATCCCAAGTGAAATTGTATAGTGGTGGACACTGCACAAAACACTGTAGTAGATAATCCTTGGCTCAGGCAGCCTACAGTCTGACACAGATCTTGCAGAGACTGCCTTATGAGCCTATCTATGCATTGTGAATGGTCATGGGACTATTAACAATATGACAAGCTAAGCATAGGGTTTCTAAGTGCCCACACTATTCATATCTAAGACATTAAAAAGACAATTACCTTTGTTTTGGATTTTGTGTAGGTAGAAATATTAGCTGCTCTAAATAAAGCCAGGTGCACCCATCCCTGGGAATGGTCAGGTTAATAGGAATTTCAAACAAGTTAAGCAATGAAGTAATTTCATGCAAATAAATAATGCCTGAACATTTCCTGCTTACACAGAGAGTGAAATATGTCACAGTTAATGTTTGGTATAAACAAAAAAATGTTTGTATTAGAATTTAGGTTTTGATAAGCATCTCAAAGTTCTCCAACCCTTTTATCCTTTGCAGTGGTTTAGCCTATTGACAGGATATCAGATATTCAGTTGTACTGCTATGCAACAGAGCAGTCATACAAAGATGTGGTATCCAGGGAAAATTATCAAAAATATATACACCAAAAATCACACACACGTTTTGTCTTTACCAGCGCAAGCACACAGACTGTCACTGTGTCACTTTGCTTTGCTGTGAACTGAATGGTGCATTCAAATGCTTTGTTTTCCCTGCGAGAATTTTCAGTCATCCCCTTGTGCTCTTACCTAACTGTATAAGACAAAAGATTGTCACTTGTTTCAAGAGCACGCAGCTGCCCACAAATGACAACACTTATTTGGAGACACAGCCTTGACTAACATAGATGAACGTATATAGTGTTCATGTTAGAGAGATGAATAGCATCATTCAGTCACTACACTGTTCCATTCTCTTGCTGCCAAACAAAGGATATAAGCCCAAGAGTTCTTCTGAAAATTTGCTTTTGCAAAGCAGTCCATGGTGCACAGCAGGCGCCCCTCAGAGCCAAAAATATCATTATATTGGGAACTCTTTTTCTGTAAAAACCACAAATCTCTCTGAGAGACTCTATTCCTCTGTTTCAAAGATACCTATTACAAGTGGTATGATTATTCATGAGTTGTAAATTTCTGGTCATACCTTTTGTTTTTGGACTGACTTGTACCTGGGCTGTAATGAGGAACAACACCCAGCAGATGGCAATGTTGTACAGCGCTCATAGTTTAAGAAAAGACGCTGCAGCAACTGTGGCCTAAAAGGCTTCACATAAAACCACTCTAAGCACTCTTAGCCAGTGAGAGACAGGACTGAGAGTGAAGCAGTCCCTCCAAGCAGCATGAAGCGTTAACCGACGGAGCCAATGCTTGATTGCTTAATTCTTATTTAAATGCGTGTAAGGTCTTGTTAAATTACAATAATAAATCCATAATCTAAATCTGTCCATTGATAATTTATAGAAGTGGCAGGCATATTATCACTTAGAACAGCAACCTAATTGAACCACCTGCTTTCTCTATTTCTCCTAATACCATGATTTAATAATGCTAAGAAAGGAACAACATGTACTTCTGTTCAGTTGTTGAAATAGATGTCAGTTCAATGGATTTGCTATTTTGGACATGTCTTGCTACATTTTAGTTGACCCTGTTGGATTGCTTTTTCAGGCTGAAGCAATGAGGCTCATCTCAGCTAACAAGTTTCTCCAAACCCAAATAAAAGTAAGTGTCCCCCTTTAGAGCTATGATATGCTCCAACAGTGCTTTATAAACCAGTTTCCTTCAGAATTATCATCACTAGGTTTGACTTGAAGTCATGGGAAAGACTTGCAGTGAGTTCTCTGGGCTCCAAGTCAAGGGCGCTGTGAATGGCCTGCTACAGATAGAAAGGGTTTTTTTGTTTTGTTTTTATTACTATGATGAACTATGGCACTCTGACCGTGAATTGCTCAGGAAGAAGATCTGAATGGTTTCTTTAGAAATACAGGGTCTTAGAGATACCTGGAGGGAAAAGAAAAAAAATGTAGATAAATTTGGAGTAAAATAAAATAATTGTATGGAGCAATAGGACTGCACTGAGCACTCCAAGAGTGTGTATCAAAATAAAAAAAAATAGATAGACATCATTTCCTATTTTGGTGAATGACAAAATTAATTGGCCCAAAAAAGGGATTTTGTTCAGCAGCTATATATGAAAAGCAAAACTTCACAAGAATGACAAAAACACAAGTCAGTCGAGTAGAAGGTAACTAGTGTTTTACCATTGTAGGCTGTGAGTTTTTGAAAAAAATATTTAGCTAGTAACAACAAGTAATACATAATACCAGAAAAATGACAATAACAAAAATAACCTTGTACTTCTGTAAATTAGCTTGCTTATAGTCTATCTTAAACTGTGTGTGCATGAAGCAACAGGAAGCACTGCATAATGTACAAAGGTGTGTGCAACCTTAAACTTCCTGCTGAAATTTAAATGTTTAATACACAGCTGAGAAACCCCTTGACCTTAATTTATAGTGGAGGTTAACGGGGTTAAAATGCTCTCAGTATTACAAATGACTTACCAAAATTATCTGATACCACTTAGGCTTTTTTTTCTAAACTACTGTACTGAAAAATATGTTTATATTTCCCTGTGTGTATACATAGTTGCTTTCTTTCTATTTGTAGGATGTTGAATACAGCATAACAGATACCTTAAATAGACAGAAGATCTCCCAAGAAAGTCAACAGTAAGTTGGAATAAAACAAGATAGTTGTTGCTTTTTTCTTTAAGAGTTAAAGAACAATGGAAGCCCTGTCACAATAATATTTCAGACCCACATATGATCAGTTTTGCATAGCTGCTAGATTTAAGTGCACCTCAGTACCACATGCATAATGGGAGCCAAGGTATTTTAAAGTGCTTTGCTCATATTTAAAGCATGGAATTGGTTTCAAGTGAGCTCTGAATCCTACAGTCAACCAAGAAAACCAAAATATGAACAGTGCTTATGGGAGGTGTTTGACTGACACTCCCAATCATTGTAGCTGACCAATTAGCCTTAGAACAGATATAGTACACATAAACCGGTTTAAGTGATCAGAAACTGGTTTAAACTTGT